GCCAGGAGGTATACACACACTGCACCACACCACACCACACCACACCACACCACACTACATTACACGCACACGCGGGCCCGTCTGCAGGCATACACCGCCGTATGCAGGCAGCTCGTGAGGGACGGGCCGCCCGACCACCGCCAGGAGGTATACACACACTGCACCACACCACACCACACCACACCACACCACACCACACTACATTACACGCACACGCGGGCCCGTCTGCAGGCATACACCGCCGTATGCAGGCAGCTCGTGAGGGACGGGCCGCCCGACCACCGCCAGGAGGTATACACACACTGCACCACACCACACCACACCACACCACACCACACCACACTACATTACACGCACACGCGGGCCCGTCTGCAGGCATACACCGCCGTATGCAGGCAGCTCGTGAGGGACGGGCCGCCCGACCACCGCCAGGAGGTATACACACACTGCACCACACCACACCACACCACACCACACCACACTACATTACACGCACACGCGGGCCCGTCTGCAGGCATACACCGCCGTATGCAGGCAGCTCGTGAGGGACGGGCCGCCCGACCACCGCCAGGAGGTATACACACACTGCACCACACCACACCACACCACCACACCACACCACACTACATTACACGCACACGCGGGCCCGTCTGCAGGCATACACCGCCGTATGCAGGCAGCTCGTGAGGGACGGGCCGCCCGACCACCGCCAGGAGGTATACACACACTGCACCACACCACACCACACCACACCACACCACACCACACTACATTACACGCACACGCGGGCCCGTCTGCAGGCATACACCGCCGTATGCAGGCAGCTCGTGAGGGACGGGCCGCCCGACCACCGCCAGGAGGTATACACACACTGCACCACACCACACCACACCACACCACACCACACCACACTACATTACACGCACACGCGGGCCCGTCTGCAGGCATACACCGCCGTATGCAGGCAGCTCGTGAGGGACGGGCCGCCCGACCACCGCCAGGAGGTATACACACACTGCACCACACCACACCACACCACACCACACCACACCACACTACATTACACGCACACGCGGGCCCGTCTGCAGGCATACACCGCCGTATGCAGGCAGCTCGTGAGGGACGGGCCGCCCGACCACCGCCAGGAGGTATACACACACTGCACCACACCACACCACACCACACCACACCACACTACATTACACGCACACGCGGGCCCGTCTGCAGGCATACACCGCCGTATGCAGGCAGCTCGTGAGGGACGGGCCGCCCGACCACCGCCAGGAGGTATACACACACTGCACCACACCACACTATATTACACGATTAAAGAAAATTAAAATAATGTTAACTTTAAGCGTCGTCCTAATTGAGAACGATACAATGGCGCGATGCAATTTCGTCGTGCGTCGTGCTGTGTTCGTGCGACGGCTTACGAGCTGTATTAGAACACTTCAGAAAAAATCTTTGTTTCAAAATCATCGCACGACGAGAACGCATCGTGTCATCGTGCGATCGTTGCCAATTAAGACCACCCCTCTCTATCGTTTGACACAGAGTACGGTTAAATACAGCAATGTTATCTCCATACGCAGGCATACGTGAGCCTGTGCGACCTGCTGATCCTGTTCTCGGAGCAACTGGCAGTCCAGAACCCCGGCGAGAAGGCGCTCCGGGAGCTGGTGCTGGAGGCCGAGCCCTCTCTGCTCGACGACCTCAACCACTTCATACAGGACGTGGTGTTCGTCAACCACAACTACGGTACTAAACGCACCGCACACGCCCCTCCGCCAATCACAGTATAACATACTTAATTACAAGATCTTCTAAGTTGAAATGACGCGCCCCGCCTTCGCATTTACGCACACAAGCAAATCTGTGGGGGGTTGCTTCCCACACTTGATGCTTGTTGAGGGTAAGGTTACTCCAAGGAGTGCTAAATAAAACCGAACCGTTTGAATGTTGTAAAAACACTAATTTATTTCGGGAACTAATTGTGCAAAGAAAAATACAATTTCATGAGTATGCTTAAAAGTAATCTGGGTCAGTTTGAAATCATTATAATTTTAATCTAGTAGGTATGTACAGCTCGTACAAAATCTATATAAAACTCAAAGGTAACTGACTCTAGTTAGGATTTATTGTCCAACTAGTTTAGTTGGTCGTGAACGCGCGAGGGGAAAGGACGTCTTGTTTCATATAATTTATCGGCGCTGCTCCATAGAGCGAGCGTTGTCGGATTTATCACCCGACTAGTCGGCCGTCATGTGCACATACAAATCATAGTTCACCGAATAATCGGCGCTGCTACACAGATGAAGTGCCGTTATTAACATTTGACACACATCTAAATAAAGGAATTAAGTGTGTGGCGTGTCATTTTAGCTTAGACGATCTCTACTGTGCCAACACACTCGCCCCATACTTCTTATACACAGGGTCGAATTTAAGGCAGGCTGTGCCGTGGTCCAGGGGCAAAGATAGGCCACCACTACAGAGATACAAAAAATCGATGGATTTGGATACCCATCAGGGACGGCGAAGGGTGCAAATTGCAGTCCGGCCTTGATTTTGGGGCTTTTATTCCTTCTTTGCACCAAGACCTCTTAACACCTGATTACACACCACGGCAAACAAACACTTACAATCATCTTTAACAGGACGGAAATTTTGACAAATCACTGTATAGTATATTAAAAATCGTGGGGATACAAACACACACACGCGGCTTCTATAAAATTTTAGGCTTGAGATACTAAACCATTTTCGAGAGGACGTCTATATGCTACCACAATTTTATGTTAAAAACTGTGCCAACACTGGCATTAAAAAACTTCACTTAAATTTTATAGTTATTAACGGGATTGTTACCATGTACCTTGTTTTTTATGAGTCTCCGATCCGAACAAGGTACTTGGTAACAACCCCGTTAATAGCTATAATGTTAGTGATCACGAAAGTTTAAAACATTAATCCATTAAAAAATAAATTTTGCGAATCACACGCAGACGGCTTCATCGATCTCTCAATATAACACTAAAACATATTACAAAAAGCTTTTTCTCCACTTTTGTCTCCTAAAATATCACTAAGATCGCACATCCGTTAACATTGTAACTATCTTTGAAAAGTGGTTATTTTAATATTAATTTGAATTGTAGATAATGCACGGAATTTTAGACATATATCATTGACAATTGATTCCCTTATGAAACCTACTTCACCAATAAACATGATGCTGTATCTTTCAGTAACTTAGTAATAGAAGATGTCAAAGTTATTTTACTATTAAGAAACGATATAATATTAAGTTAAACTGAAACCAGTGTTCAGATACATTAACGTCTAAATGAAATCAAGACCTTACATTTCACACACATTCAAATAATATATTTTTTGAAAGTTGTGGTAACAAGATTTCAAGAGAGGGCTGCATTGAAGGAGACGCGGGACGCTTCGCGGTGTGATTCGCGCGCCATTGTCTTGGTTGACGGTGACAAGTTTAACTCGTGGATATATGATATGCAACAGAAAGTTTTTTAAAAAAATGGGTGCGTGTACTTATGTAGGCGCGTGAGAAGTTATCCTTCTTTGGCATCGTTTAAAATTAGTTTTTAATTGCATGCAAATAATTAATTACAGTAAATTAATAAAAAGTCTGGAAAAGGACACAGTCAATAAAGTTCAGTTTTAATTTGAAAAAATAAATAAATAATCAAAATATTCAATTAAAATCGCTACTGAATATAATTTATTAGAACATATGTGATTTGCACTTGTATGAAACTCAAACACGTATTCCGAATGTACAAACTAGAAACATGTGGATAAATATTATAAATATGAATACCTATAACTGTTACTTTATTACAAAAAATAAAGATGTGGTTTTTGGTTCTACTACACCAATGGTCAAGAGATGGCGCTGTAGTCTCCTGAATCGCGCTTTGGTTCCGTTGTTCCAGATTAATAAATACTTTTGATAGGCCTTCACAATGCAGTCGTTAGCACCCATTAAATAGAGATTCTATTTCTATTTTGTTGGTAGATTTTCTTAATGTGCGGTAAACACAAAAGTAACGCATAAAGTTGGACCAACTTCATGCTGTTAAAATTTTGTGTTACAGTGATGCGCGGCGCATCTTAAAATTTCACTCTCATCATTTTTTCATAACGCGCCTAAAGAAGTATAACTTCAAAAATAGTTTTTTGGAATCGATTCAGAAGCCAATTCCTATCAAGATACCTCGTGTCTCGGCCTTTTGAAGATATATAATCAATATTGACGTCTTTCGTGGTCGAGTGGTTTGTACGCCAGGTTTCATAGTGTCGCCTACTCGAGAAGTCCCGGGTTCGAATCCCCGGTGGGGGCAGATGTTCGTGTGATGAATACGAGCATTTGTATTCCAGTCATTGATGTTAAATATGTATTTCTATGTAGATAGACTTATGTATATGTATCAGTATATATATTCTATCCGTTACCCTAGTATGCCATAACACAAGCCTACAGTGCTTACTTTGGGGCTAGGCTAAATGGTGTGTGTTGTTCTAAAAAAAATCGTGTATTTAAACACGATTTCGCCGCCCGTCGCGGCGCAATGTAATAAAGCACCTTCATCTTTATTGTCTCTTGTCTGTGGCAGTGCTATCACAGTGAAACTGCTTTTTTTTGTGCATTTGCACAGATATATTTTTGAAAATCTTCCATGCCTTCTGATATTGTCTATGATTTCCATGAAACAGGTGAAAATGTCTTCAGCTACTTGGGATCAGAGCAATTTACGTGACATTGTCCAATACTTTGACAATTGTTTACTTGATATTCGTACTTGTCATACTTGAAAAGGTTTGGATTTTAACGATAAATGTTGGATTTTATTGCTATTTAATAAATGTCGATTGTGTCTGAAATTGCAAGTTTGTGATACGGCTCGCAAAAATCAATGCTATTTGAATATCCCCAGCAAGCACCAATTTATTTAACTCCGATGAAAGTATATGAGTTTCATATCATTACTCCGCGCAATGTCTCGCGTTCTCTCTCAATCGGCCTCAACTGTTTATACTAGAAAATGTTTTCAATTATATTTTTAAACGATAAAATGTAGCAACCTTCACGAAACGATTTAAGAAAGGGATCATGAAAAAAAATCATATTCTGTGTTGCTGGCTAAATTGAAGAATCAAATTTCACAGAAATACAAAGTTGTTCGTGTCGCAAGATTTGTTTGTAAATAATTTAAGTTTTTTACTTCATGCGGTACATCATAGATTTAACAAGCAGTATTTTCGAAATATGTTTCTGTGAAATTATCTTTGTATCTCAAAAATGTGTACAGTTATTATAACGGGTTAAAGTATGAAATTGCCGTTTTGGACTAAAAAATGAATTTTGAAACATTCAATCGCTAATGTATAATTAGCGATTGAATGTTTCAAAAATCAAGCGAGGTTTTATGTTGCAAGTAATTTCAAATAATGCGAGGTCATGCGTTATTTATCATGAAGAAATAACAATAAAGTCCTATTAACTAATTGAAACTGGGCTACTGTGAGTACTCATCAGAACTGAACCTAGGTCCCCTACCGATAGGTCCCCAGAAACTATTTTGAATTATATCAGGCATTTGTATGCGTTAGCTTCGCTTTAGGGCATTCCGTGGAAGTCTCAGTTCGGCCCAAAATCCTTTAACATCTTTGCCGGTTTAATAATACAAGATTCATCTTGCGGTGCTCTCACCGTTAAATTATATCGTAGGACTCATTTCATAAACTCCATACCAGTTGCATTGTAAAAATACGTGACTGCTTCACTGTGTTGTTGACAAAGACAAATTTGTGGAGATGCTAACGTCAAATGCTGCTTATTATTTGGCAGTTTCAAACGGGTAATTTTTTCCTCTACACCTATTTTTAATTAACTTTAATGTCTCTTATCTTGTTTGAGGCCCATTATTCAAGCTGTAATGTTTTTGTTTCAACTAAAATGTTAAAAACGGCCATTTCATATTGAATCCCTATTATGATGCATATTATTCTTTTGATTAATTCAGCAAATAATACATAATATACATGATGATGTACGATTTTAGGGATTTATGAAAGAATTGTATGTTCATCATAGTAGGTTTATTACGGATGTTTGGGTATTTTAACTCTCTAGTGGTAATGGCGAGTTAGTATCATATTTCTTTGTTCGTTCTAAGGTCACTTATATACAATACTCAACTCTGGTCGCTTCATATTTTGTATAATTTTTCTAAATAATTTTGTGATATGTTGCTATTGAAAACTCGCAGAAAGTGATTCGATGTGTGGTGAACTTGAATACAATATAAAAACAACATTTGCTGTTCATCATACATGTGCAATTTGTAAAAAAAAAACAGTTGCCTTGATTTATTTTATCAGATGTTTAGAAGAAAATCGGAATCCAATTTAGCTTCCTTCAGCTTAGTTGTCGCAGCTCAGAGTTTAGGGCTTTCCATTGTAATAGTCCGAACGATGAACACCACTGGCGGGTTGGAATAGAACGACTCATTTTATCGGTCCGTACGGTTCACGACGGGTAGTGTGCACCAGTAAACGTCATTTTCGAATCGGTTCGACGTCCTACCCTCGCTCTCCACTGCGGATATGCCACATCGCCGCATCCCCAGCCTTAAGTCTCCCCCACCTAGAGGCGATCTGCGGTCGCGGTCACATGTGATGGTCTGTAGAATATGGAGGGCTTCACATAGGCGCGGTCAGGGCGCGACATACAACCTTTATCTGTGCCCGCGACCGCACTCCCCACCTCCTTCACCACCGCTAGAGTACGCGGGGCCGTTCATTGATACCTGCCCAGTTATAAAAATTTGAGATCGCGACCGCCTCTGTCCGGGGGTAGGTTTTAAGTTAGAATTGGAGTATATAAGGAGGGCGGCGATCGCTCGCGTTCTCCGCACGCGCGGCGACACGGCCAGTCGTGGACCGGGGCGGGCCCGGGATGAAATATGCATTGGGGAGTGTAGGACGCGTGTGGGAGGGGTCGGGGTCGGGGTCGGGGAGGGGGAGGGTCGGGCGCGTGCCTTACCGCGTGTTGTTTGGTTGCATGTGCGGCGGCGGGCGTCGCGCGGCGTGCTCGGGTAAGCCCTCGGCCGGAGCGCACATTTCACTGAGTGCGGCCGCCCCGCCCCCTCGCCCCTCGCCCCTCGCCCCTCTCCCGCGTCTTATCAATGCATATCGCCGTCCGCGTGTGGGGCCGCGCGGGCGCCGGGCGCCGTACTGAGGGGAAATGCTCGCGCCGCGCCGCATCGCATGCTTGTTGTGCACTCTCGCTCCTTTCTGTTGCGTTCGGTGTCGCTGTCGCTGTGGTTGTAGTACTCGCGCGCACCCCTCGGGAATCGAAGCGAAACTGTCGCTTTGAAATGTATGCAAAAGTTCGACTCGAGTGTGATAAATTTCGCCTCCTTCTAGAGTGGATATGAGTGTATCGTTGGCTTTGCGCGTTCGTTTCGTTTTCCGAGGTGGGCGACGCCTTTGGAACGTCAGGTGTGGACCGCGCCCGCGCCTTCGGAGCGCCGGCTTCTACTAAACACTCGATAACTCTTCCGCCACTAATGGTAGTACACACTCGATCTAATACGCGACGCTGAGCTTTTTTATTTCTTTCAGTAGAAACAGTAGTGGTGCATGCCCCGTATAATACTTTTGATATTACAGCTGCACCGGCTTGGCGAACGATCTAATGGAATGGGTGGTTATAGACATGTACATGTGACACGAGTGTGTATAGTATATAGAATGGCAATTTTCTGTTAATCAGTTGTTTTGAGTAACGAATGTATCATTCGAACGCTGCTCACATACTTATTTGCGGAATATGGTGTTAAAACTTAAATTAGACAAATCGATCGTAACTTGAAACTTCTACTCGAAAAGTAATAAAAATAAATCGCAACGACGATTTGTGTAATTTTTATGGTTGCTTCTCCTGCTCGCGTTTATAGTTAAACAAATAGTGTGACGTTTGTGTTTTTCCAAAATTGTAATCTTTTCAGACGCAAGATTATAAGACTAGACTTTGAAAAACTACAGGCGACAATTTCAGCTTACCCAAACTTAAAAAAAAACTATTAATTTAGCCTGAGGTAATGTCACCAATGTCCGATAGGAGCCAGTGATCGTGATTTTTGTGATCAATGAAAATAGGAGTGGGTCGCTGAGTGTGATAACATCCAGGCATAGACGCTCGGTGTTACCATGTTTAGATCACTAAAAAGTTGCCTACTCTTATTGTCACTAACCAAATTTATATAATGACTGTTGCTTCTCAGTACATTTATGAAAATTTCATGTATATTCGAAAAAAATATAACATTATTTCCTATAAATAGTACCCACTTAACACAAGAAATAAAAATAAATTAGCTGTACCAATTACACGGCTCCACAAAATCAATCCAATAATTCATGTAAAGATCTTCGTCTACGGTTCTAGAATAAAGTCCCAAGCAAAATCTAAAAATTAAGCGTCAATAAATTAAAAGCTACTATTAAAATAGTTATTATTAATGAAGCCTATTATAAGGTGTCTGATTATATTTCAGACAAAAATGCTTGGTTTTAAACTGTTCCAAACGTTCTAGCAGGCTTTTCTATAATTATGATGAAGATGATATGATTTTGTATTGACACTGTAACGATATAATATTTTGTTAATATTGTTACGTAATTATTTGACGCTGTGAAGTTTACTTCGCCAGTTTTTATCCACATCTAAAAAAATGTCCTTAACTAATGGTAGGGGGAAAATATGGACGATTCGAAAGAGTTGTATTGTGTATCCAATCTGAATAAAGATTTTTTTAACTTTTTGACATCGAGGGAATGTCGATCATTGGTTCTTGTCTAAACATTGGCGTCAATACCTTACGTAGTTCAAAACCGAGCTCAAAAAAACATAGTATTGGAATAGCATGAACGTCATATGCAAGTGGAGTGGGTCGCGAGTGGCACGAATGTTGACGTAACGCGCTTGCAGATGGTCAAGATGAGAGACGTATAGAGGAACTGCACAAACGGCGCAACTTCCTGGCGGCCTACTGCAAGCTCATCGTGTACAACGTGGCGCCGATCAGGCGCGCCGCTGACGTCTTCAAGCATTATATCAAGGTAGGCTTACGTGAGGAGCACGATGGCGCGCTGGCTACCGACCACTGCGATCGTTGGGGTTAAGCAATTTTCGCAGTGGTCGGTCATGGGATGGGTGACCAAAAATCTTCTATCTCGAGTTCCTTCGTGCTTTGGAAGGCACGTTAAGCCGTTGGTCCCGGCTGCATCTGTAGTCGTAAGCACCCGCCAATTCGTCTTGGGCCCGCGTTATTAGGATGACGCATTAAAAGGCTGATGGATGGACTCAGTAGGACTATTCAGTGATTTTGATTTTTTAATGGCAGAGGGCCGGATTTATATCACCCCCCCCCCCCCCCCCCCCACCAGCATGAGCGCCGGAATATTAATTATTAAATTATATTAATTATAGTAGAACCCGCTTAATACGATTTCTCGCATAATACGCCATTTTGCGTCAGTCCCTGCAATTTGAGACATATTTTCATAGTTTTCTTAACGCTTAATACGATACGTCATCCCGTTTAATACGCCTAAATCACCAACACGTACCACACATATTACCTCTTGCGGCATCATAAATTTGAATGAGAATGTGAATAACACACAAGGAGAGGCCCTAAGTGATAAGGGGCTGTTCAAGTATTACGTAAGCACTATCGGCGGGCAGGGGGGTCTCTGCTTTGCTTATTTTTGATGACTGGGGGGGGGGGGGGGTGTAGAGATGGGATTACGTCAGCATCATCGATTAACCCTTTTTAAGTACTGCTCATGTTCATGAATCAATAAAAAAAAAACAGAATACATTAAAGGAAAAATGCATATAGGTACCAATGTTTACGTAAGGATGGGGGAAGGGGTAAGAGCTTTGCTAATTTTTGCTGACGAGGGGGAGGAGGGGGTAAATAATTGTCTGCTTACTAAACTAATAAATCTGCTTACGTAATACTTGAACGGCCCCTAATGATCAAAAGATGAATCTACTACGATTTTGTTACACGCCCAGGCATTATCAGCAATTAATGATTTACGACAATATGTAACTTCTTTGAATCAAAGCAAAGATGCACTGTAAAACTTTAAATTATGTTGAAAATCTTGTAATTGCTAACGACTCCTTTACTTTAAATGCAAACGTAATAATACTACACTACATTTGATATAACGTGCACAATTTTATAAATATTGTACATTTAGTACCTCAATCCCTACATTCGAAATCTCTCTATCCCGCAATCCCGCATAATACGCTTTCCCGCTTAAGACGCATTTTTGGTTGAGTCCTTGTGAAATCGTCTTAAACGGGTTTTACTGTAGTAAGCGGTGATAAAAAAAAATGGTTGCCTGTAAAGTCGGTTTTACGGGCGAAGATTTTACGTGACAACGTCTTTTTCTCGGTAGAATATTTATTGATATGAATATAATTAAATTGCACAATAGGAACAAGGAATTGAATGAAAATAAGAATTGCACAAATTTTAACTATAGAAATATATTTTGTTTACTAAAACATTGTACATGTAAACTTAAACTTAACACGAGAGACTCATCGTAACGTTACCGAGCGTTACACTTTTTCATAAGTGACTCCCAGCCGCAACCTAATTTAAGACGTTGTCACGTCAAATCGTGATATAATGTTAATTGTGGTGCTCATGCTACGGAGACTGGGCCGGAGATGACCCGCCGCCCTAATTTGCCCATTACAGCGGACAAGCAGTATCCGAAGCGTAAGTTAATTGTAACGGGCCCATATATTGACGCTTTACCTCTAAGCACGTGTTTCCCCTTGCGCAGTGTTACAACGACTACGGCGACATAATCAAGGCGACTGTGAGCAAGGCTCGCGAGATCAGCAAGCTGAGCTGCGCCCTCACCATGGAGCTGGCCATGCAGGCTCTCTTCGCCGACATGCTGTCCAAGCATCCGGCACCTAATCGACAACTGCCAGAGTTCCTCGAGCTCAAGGTGCGTGCTGTCCTACTTCCATCACAAACAATATACACACTTAGATATAGATAGACGACCTCCGTGGTCGAGTGGTATGTATATCACTCCCCCCCCCCCCCCAGCATGAGCGCCGTGATATGGTATATGTCAAAGTGTCGCCACTTAGAGGTCCCGGGTTCGAATTCCGGTGGGGACAAATGTTAATATGTTGAATACGAACATACCTTAGTCATGGATGTTTATATATATTTCTGGATAAAATATATATGTATTGTATCCTAGGGTAACCCTAGCATCCCACAACGCAAGCCTTACAGAGCTTACTTTGAGGCTAGGCTAATTGGTGTGAGTGTGGGAAATATTTATTTTTATAATATTTATAGAATTTCTTGTGAAACAGCTAGCAGACAAGAATTATGTTTTTACTATTAACCAAAGAAGAAGATGATCCTCGTGATAATAAATTTGCAATGCAAAAAAACGATTCCTCGATACGAACGATATTGGTTAAACCAATATCCTCTACACTGCAGCACAGAATTGCGTTATATTTGGCTGTAGTCTTCTAAAAGCTGGTTAAACTTCCGAGATCCTCTAATTCGATTGGATTAAACATTCGCTATACGATAAATACCATAGTTCTTCAAAACCTAATGTGACTGTAAAATTAGCATTAACTACAACAACATATAATGTTACACTCAGCTTGATTAGATCTTATTTCTCGGATGGGAAGTATTAATAAAAAGACAATTTGCTCAACTGAGCTCACCCAAAACAAATTATTTTCTAAGATATTGATACCGTATTGTGATGGCTTTACAAAATACGCAATACTAAATAAATTATTATGAACAAGAACAAAACATATTATCACCAAAAAATTGTGTTCGTTCATTATGTTCGTTTAAATGATTTTTCGCTTGAATATTTACGAAATATCTATTTTATTTAGTATACAGGGCGTCCCACGGCCATGCCACACGAAGGGAAAGTATATTAAATATTAAAGGTAGGTTATTTTACTGAAAGAGGACATCATTTAATTTTTGATAAAAAATAAATTGACGACCTCCGTGGTCGAGTGGTTTGTACGCCGGGTTTCATGGTGTCGCCAACTCGAGAGGTCTGAGTTCGAATCCCGGTGGGGGCAGATGTTTGTGTGATGAATACGAGCATTTGTACTCCAGTCATAGACGTTTGAAATGTATTTCTATATAAATATACTTATATATGTACTGTATACGTATTCTATCCGTTACCCTAGTATCCCATAACACAAGCCATACAGTGCTATTTTTGGCGCTAGGCTAATTGGTGTGAGTATTGGAAATATTTATTATCATTTAATAATAAATATAACTGCATCGGCAGTCAAACTCGTGAAATGTGAAAAAAACCACATGACGTATTTGATGATAAACATAGAAAGCGTTAATCATAAGGATATTTTTTTCAATTTAACATCTTGTTTAAAATAATTGAACCCTAACTACAATAAAAAATGTTGCTAGAATTTTATTTTTAATTTAATTAATAATATGTTCTAAATGTGATCCATTCTGTTGTATACAAATTCTCACTTTTAATATAATGCATGTGTTTTATTTGTGTTTCACATTTCACGAGTTTGATTCCCGGTTGTGGCAGGTGATTTAAAAAAATTGTGAATGCATCTTATTATTAAAAATTAAATGATGTCTTCTGTCTGTAAAACATCCTATATTTAATATACTTTCTCTCCGTGTGGCATTATGCCCTGTCTAAAAGGCGGTGTTACTAGTAAAATAACGTGATAGATTAAATGTATACAATGCGGGTCGAACGAATGAAGGTTACGGTAATGGGCTAACGAAGCGTATTGAAACTGCTATCGTTACAGATATACATAATGTTTATATATAGGGTGAAATTGAACGTTTCTATGAAACTTCGTGAGATTGTTGGGTTATGTGTATAGAGTATGCCTGTTTTTTTTCGGATTTTTTTGAAGTATATTTTTTTTATGTATTTATTTATAATTTGTGTATTTTTATGTCCTTTCCTCCTTTTGAGTAGTTATTCATTTTAAACAAACAAACTTACATATCCAGTGAAAAACAACTAATAAATAAGCACTTCTAAAAAACGGAAAAACATTAAATTCCACCGCGGGTCAACGACCGACCGCGCCCGCCAGTCGTTGAGTGAGTAGGAGTACCTACCTCTACACAGAGCTCAGCTGACTCGTTTGATTCCACACAATACAATAAAATCGTCTTAGATGCCTTTATTGAAATTGAAATAATAAGCACAAATGTCATCTTCTCTTAAGCAGAGAAAAACTTTAAAAGTTAATAATAATTTTGTCACGATTGGAAATAGGCAAATGTTAAACAAAAAGAAATACTTATTGCAGTTCAATACTTGGGTCAGAATGAAATTTATAATCCGGTATTCAAAAGTACTTACGAGACCGGTGATGTAGGTAGGTACAACGAGGAACGAGGAACATATTCATTTTTTTCACTAGAACTTTTTATCAAATCAATCATACTGGTAGTACACAATTAGTTGTTTCTAATCAAAAAGTATTTACACTAGCAATAAAAAGAGACTTAAATTATTATCTGCAAAATTGTTGCTCTAAACCACCATTTTGCTGCAAACAAAGGTAGGCATGTTTGCGGACGTGTCTTTTCACCTTTTTTACTTCTATGGTTTGGGGACTCATTCGTAAACCAAACCTACTTCGGCACACTCGCGATAGCAGTACACCATCTCTAAATAGGTATTCTTGGTTCGTATACCGAGGCATAATGAAATTATCACAGTGTATGTCACTAAGTCAAAAGATGCGCACGCGCACGCGCGATTGATATACTTGCGACTGCGTTTTGCATGCAATCAAAGCAAACCACCGCGTGCGGGGAAGAGGGGAGGTGGGCGGAATTCACATCATCAAAGACGCCGCAACCGGCGCTAGTTGCCAGCGTGCGGCGCGCCGCCCGCCCGTGCTTGCCGCAAAACAACATATTATTACGTGTGTGTGTGTGTGTGTGACTGTGGCTGTGATTAAATGTGTTGGGAATTTCATGACGTGGGCAAATCAGACACGAAGAGTTCCTTCCTTCACTAAGCTCGTAAGTTATACCGATTTGCTCTGTATGATTTTTCCCAATTTAATAAGCCGTTTGTGCTTAAGTTTTAATTAAACGAGGCAACTAACATTAACAATAAAAAAGAAGTTCTTACACTAACAGACAGGCTTTACCGATTTAAAATCGTGACAGTCATATTAACTTTATAGGATTTTTAATTGCTCTAACAGAAGATTTATTTTATTGATTAATTACCTGTGCTTTATGAAACAATATTCAAAGGTATTGTGTATCAGTGAATAAATAATTATAATATAGCATCTAAGACTATTTTATTGTAATGTTTTTAAATAGTGTGGATCAAAGCGGAGAGTAGGTAAGCGCCGAGTCATCTGTGCGTGTAGTAGGTACCTACAGGCGGCCGCCGGTCGTCGCCCCGACCGGCGCTGATCTCGACTGGAGGCATAATGAAGGCATTCATTAAGTTTCCGTTTTTTTAGTAGTGCTTATTTTAAGTTGCTTTATAACTTCTATGTAGACGTGTTTAAAATGAATAAATACTCATAAGGAAGAAATGACAAAAAAATAACCAAATAAAAAATTAAAAAACGAAAAATTTTATTTTAAAAAATCCAAAAAAATCATGCATACTCTATACACGTAACCCAACAATCTCACGAAGTTTCATAGAAACATTCAATTTCACCCTGTATATATATCGAGCCCTTACCGCCAAATTATCGTAAGCGACACTCGCCAAATTATTGTAAGCGACACTTTTGTCGAAATGCGTTTTTTGTGGAAACTAATATTCTAAACCGTAACGGACCCATCTCTGTTGATATTTACCTCCAAAAGAACACCGTTATAATATAATAGAGGGAGGAATAGAGGGAAATATCAACAGAGATGGGTCCGTTACGGTTTAAAATATTAGTTTCCACAAAAAACGCATTTCGACAAAAGTGTCGCTTACGATAATTTGGCGGTAAGGGCTCGATATGTATATATTTAATGATCGTCTTTGCTGTATTGAAAAGTGAGCGATCGTGTAATATTACAATTTGCGTCCCAGAAGTTTGAGGTCGTGACACTGTTTATTATATAAAAAGTTTTATTTGTTTCTAGAACACTTGGATTGTGTTTGTGTTTGATTTAGAGTGGAGAGTAACGGGCGCACTTAGAGCCGACAATTTACTTATAAGATTGATTTAAGTCGATGTTGTTACTTTCTATGCGATAACAATAGAATGAGTTAACATTTGATTGCTTTAAGCATTACGTTAATTTGACGTTTCCGAGTAGGACTGTTTTTATTGTAGAATTAGTTATCGCCCGCCACATTGTTTGTGTGATTCTATTTTTAAATCTGTTCAGCCATTGTTGCGTTGCGTTATAATTTTTTTATGGTCTTTTTGATTTTTTTTTTAATTTTGTGTTTATTTATTTGACCGTAACTACCGTAAACTACCTGCAGTTCCAAAATTGGGAGACCTTTCCGAGGAAAGCTGGCGAAACAAAATCGGAGAGGCTTTTCGTCTCCTTTTTATGCTTAATCATGTAAACAAAAAGAACTAATAGCATCTGTCGGTCTGTGGTCTTTTTTCGATGTTAACATGATTATGTTTCGGTACCGTGCAGGAGTTGGCCAAGCGGTTCTCGGTGATGTTCGGGCTGGACGCGGTGAAGAACCGCGAGGCGCTGACGGCGCTGCACCGCGCCGGCGTGTCGTTCGCCGCGCTCGACGCGCACTGCCGCTCCCCCCCGCCCCACCTGCTGTTCCTGGAGCCGCTCGCCGAGTTCTGCACGCGCCTGCTGCGGCAGGACAAGCGCCACGTGCTGAAGGTGTAGTCCCGGCCCCGGCCCCGCTTCGGGCGCCAGGGATCGAGATATTATTATTATAGGAAATCGAACCCGATCATGTCCACTGTTTCAAATATTGGCAGCTTTCAGTTTAATTAAAAAAACAAGGAAACGATAGATTATTCGAGCTCGGTTCATATTAAAATGCAAAACCTATAGTCGGTCCATTCGTTTATTATCTTTTTGACAGATCGACGCCCATGAAATTTTGTATTGTTTACGTTAAAATATCATACGAACAATATTGTACTTCATGGACGGGTATCGTCCACTTAGTGGTGTGCCACACATAATGATTACTACGATTTTGCCACAGATTACAAATAATAGGTAGAAATAAATGAGTACAATGAAATTGTAAGGTAAAAACCAAGTAATTAAAATATTAACATTATATAAAGTTCATGATATAAATTTCCTTTAGTTTATTTTTAATTTATTCAGACGTATCAAATTCTTCTTAAAAACTAGACTCATCGTCAGATGTGTCCTCGGTATTAATGATGAGTTCATTCTGTTGTATATTGTCAAAGGCAACATCTCGATCCCAATCACACACTCGCCCAGTTTTCAGGTGTAACATCACCACACGCGTTATTTAAAAGTTCCATCATCTTGTTTGCTGTGAACGGTGGCGTAGTGTTCTTTATTGCGGCGTTTATTTTTACTTGTGCTCATATCAGCTCAAGAGCATTGTACTCGCAATGATAAGATGAGAGTCTGAGCACAGTATGTCAACATTCTGCTGTCATTTCATCAATGACATACCATCTTCGTTATTTATTTTCATTTAAAATGTTTACTAATTCTACTATTAGGTAGGAGTCGTCCACATCCTTGCCAAAGCACAAAGCCATTTAATAATCTCTGCTTTGGTATTTGCTTGTGTGGGTATTTTATTTATTTACCGAGAATGATAGGGCGAGTTATCAATAAATATCACCGCAGGCTCTTCTAACGATAACAGCATTTGCCTAAACCAATTTTCGTGAACTTCCGCTTCATTTCTTAGTGATAATCACCAGATTTTTTTGATTTGAATGCTAATAGAGCATCTTCCACAAATCGTTTTGATGTTCCAGCGTGACAAATGATAAGGCGTTCGCCTTTACCAACAGTTACAGCGGAAGTTGAGCCAGCAGTATCGTCAGTTCACGTTTTTGAGACTTTATGATTAGCATTAAGTCAGGTCTCATCGGTAAAAACAACATTGGGCCAGTCTTCTATATTTTTCGCTTGTCTCAAAAATGCGCACCGAGCAAGAGCAATATCGTGACGTTCCATCAAAATCTTTCTTTTATCTGATTTTTTTAAATACAATCAAATTTGCCGTAACACTTTTGCTAACGAGGACTTTTGACCGCGAAACAAACCACTATTCCGCAGTGATAGAACCATTTTTCTTAAGGTTGGGATTTCTTTTCTTTGATAATAATCATATATATGACGACGAATAGCGTCAGTATCAAAGCTGTCAACAGCTGTAACTCGACGGGGCTGACGTTTCTTTTTTGGTGTTGAGAGTGTGTTTTGCTGCATTTCACTGCCACTATAAGCCCTTTTTGTATATTTTTGTCACTTTCGAAACACTGATACCCAATGCACTTGTGAAATAGGTATAAGAGGGCCACCACCATTACTATAATCATCATCATCAACAGCCCATCATAGTCCACTGCTGGACATAGGCCTCTCCAAATGCACGCCACTCAGATCGATCTTGGGCATTACTATATTGAAACAAAATTATCTATACTAATATTATAAAGAGGAAAAGTTTGTGTTTGTAACGAATTGGCTCAAAAAGTACTGGACCGATTTTAAAAATTCTTTCACCTTTTGAATAATTACATTATCACTGATTAATATAGGCTATAGTGTATTTTCAAAAAAGTTAGGGTTCCGTATGCAAACTTCGATAATGTAACCCAACGTGTGTAAAATATACCAAAAAATAGCCTTATATCGCGTACGCTGCGGAAGTCATTGATAATAGAGCAAAGTGATGTACTAAAGTTTTATAGAGAATACCAATATCTACAAAAAAGTCCGGGATACCATGTGTCTAACTATTACAGTTATGTCACAACGAGAGGTCCCCTGCGGTTTCACCTGCGTTAATTTTAAGAAAAAGGTTTATAGTGAGTCGAACTTAAAATATGGACATAGGCTGTCGTGGACTTTTTTACAGAACTTTTAAAGGGGAATGAATTCCGTCATACATGATTTTTGTGTAACTTTAACCGTTTACCCAGCGCAAGCAACGGAATCTCACAAATGGAATATTTTTAACCGTTTTTGCAACATTTTTCATCGCCTGGTAATTTATAGCCCTGGTAATTTTTCAAATCGGAACAGCAGAACAATGTTGCATTCGGTACAACGGGTCCTATCATTGTATATAATACAAGCCTTTGAACAAAAACTATAGTCTACACTACAGCTCTACACCGAGCAAAGCGAGGGCGGGCCACTAGTATGAGTATAAGTATTAGGATAAACAAACATAAAAAGAAGAGAACAAATACTCGTGCTCATCACACAAATATTTGTACTAGGTAAAATTATAAATCTAATGAGATATTGTAATAATTTATTAAACACCAGTATTTTTGGTAACTAAAATAATTTCGTTACTTCTAATCGATTAAATAATGTTCTAGCATAAAATCGATTATAGCTTTAAATCGAACGAGTTGTGTTGTCACTATTTTTACTTGGATCGATCTGCCAAAAAGATAATAAATGAGTGGACAGACTATATTTATAGTGTGACTTATAATTTGAAAATTCGTTGAAAATCCTTTGTTTCCTTGTTTTTATGAGCTAAATTTGAAAGTGTCAATAATTGGAAGAGTACCAATGATTGTTTGGTTTCCCCTGTTTCAATGTGGTTAATTTGAGGAAAAAGGTTATAGTGAGTCAAACTTTAAAGAAGTAAATATGCTGTCGCGGACTTTTTTTTATAGAACTTTTAAAGGGGATCAATTCCGTCGTACATGATTTTTGTGTAAATTTAACCATTTACGCAACGCACGCAATGAAAGCTCGGAAATGGATTTTATTTCCCGTTTTCGCAACAGTTTTCATCGATGCTCCGCTGCTACTGATCGTAGGATGTTCTATGACGTTGTAGCCTTTCCCGATAAATGCACTTTCCAACACAAAAGAAAACTTTCAAATCTGACCAGTAGTTCCTGAGATAACACGCTAATCTCAGGAACTACGGGTCAACCAAACAAACAAATTCTTCAGCTTAAAATATTAGTATCTGCAAACACCAACGTCACTAAATTTCATATGAAATTGGTTAGCGCGTTCGGCTGCGATCGCTGAAGTAAAGCATCTTTCGCAGTGGTCAGTCATTGGATGGGTGACCAAAAATCATCTACCTCGAGTTCCTCCGTGCTTCGGAAGGCACGTTAAGCCGTTGGTCCCGGCTGCATCTGCAGTCGTTAGCACCTGCCGATCTCCCTTTTCCATCCATAGGGAAGGCCTCTGCCCCAGCAGTGGGGACAGGACATTAATAGGCTGATGATAATGAGTTTGCTGTGTCCAGTTAAGACTTATATAATAGCACGAGTGTTCGGCCTGCTTAGTTCTATTAACTCAGCAGCCCATTTTATCGAATAACCTACTATTAGTAATTTAGCGTGCTCTAATCCTGGTACGTTTAAACAGTATATTTCCGATTCGCCTAGAAGAAGGTCGTCCTTGAGAATTTAACCCGGATAGTTCATTCAATAATAATATTTTACAATTGTGTTTGAATGTCACTTAATTGCTAAAATACGTTAAACGATTTCAAACAATTATGTATATGATGATGTACTTGCTCCGCTGCCCTGGAAAAGTAAAATAAAAAATACGCCTTCGGCCCTGAAATATTATTTATTATTTCAAAGTAACTGATCTGGTGAACTTTGTGTCACCTAACAGCCCATGAATGTGGTTAATTTGTGGAAAAAGGTTAAAAATATAAATAAAAATATTTTAGCTTTTTTTCAGTTTATATTTGATGAGTAATATTGTAATAATATGAAAACGAAAATTTGTAATTGAAATAGAAATCGCCGTTGTTTCGAATTAATTTCTATATATTTGATAATTAAGTATTTTATACAATATTAGTAACCGTCTGGATGATATTCGTGAATAACTAATTTATATATCCTGTAATAATGAATTGAAAATGTTATCACATTTTGTACAACAATTAAAAACTTCCTCATTCCATTTAAAATTACTGCTAAAAAGGTTTGCGTTTTGTAGTAGCTGGAAATATTGTATAGGTTGGACCTTTAATGTATTGTTTTACTGAACTGAAGCATTCGAGATATGAATTTATTTTTTGTGACCATTCATCCTTTGAAAATGTTGCTTATGTTTTGCAATAGCTAACCAATTGTGCTACTCGCAATGCTATCAAAAGCTTTCGACTCGACTTCTTCGTTTGACAATTTTCGGAAAAATAATTAATCTTAAATTTTAATGTACTCCGTCCGCAGTTCCTGGACACGAAGATAACATCGGTGGCGTGGGGCGAGGAATGGGCGCCATTATCCACGTACCGCAACTGCCTGCTGACCGACTCCCCGGAGGAACGGCACCCGCCCTCACGCAAGCACTACACGAGGCGACAGCGTGAGTATACCGCTAACTATACAGTAGATAACATCGGTGGCGTGGGGCGAGGAATGGGCGCCATTATCCACGTACCGCAACTGCCTGCTGACCGACTCCCCGGAGGAACGGCACCCGCCCTCACGCAAGCACTACACGAGGCGACAGCGTGAGTATACCGCTAACTATACAGTAGATAACATCGGTGGCGTGGGGCGAGGAATGGGCGCCATTATCCACGTACAATACATCCATAATTTACAAAATTAACACATCTCTTATCTATTAGACAAGTCCGTTCGTGCGTCCGTCTGTCTTTGGTGCTGTTTCAGCGGCCAAACCGTAAGAGATAGATAAAGAGAATATTTAAGTTATAAGTTAAGAATAGTCTGATAAGACTACAAACCGGATTTGAGTAACGTAGCACTTCCGGTTTTCGAGAAATCACGAATTTCAAACGAAACCACACAAAATCTTCGAAGTTCTCAATTAATTAAATACATTTTTTTAATCAGGTTTTGGTGAACATTTGGGTCACTGGTTTGCTAGTAACTATTTATTAAATTAACAAACACGAAAAATACGGGGCGGTGATGATATCGTGTCGTGGTCGTAATTTTAAGTAATTATACTTAACTCTTCACCCCGGGTCGGCCCCCGTCCGCGCGAGCGCATGCTTGCAGTGTTGATCTTCAGGCAGTGATGAAACGACGTCAGAAAGTGATATTGGCTGTAGTATATTAGAGTAATAAAGTAATCTATTAAATAGATTGTTGTTTGTTTTATTACATTATACAAATTTTCTTGGAAATTCAAATTTTGTAGGTATTTATACATATTTATACAATAAAATATGATTTATTGGCATTAAATAATAGAAATCAATTAGAATTTAGTCTAATTATTAGAAAAGTATAACTTCTCAAAAAGTAATGAATATCATTTAAAATTATTTCCCGCTCCTCAGGAAACTGACTTGAATATTCAATATCTAACTAGAAATAACTAAAATTAATATACAGTATAAATCTATATTTTGAATCGCTTGTCACAAGTACTAAGATATAATCGATAATCGATTGGATATGCTGGGTATCACATGAAGTCTCGTCTCTATAACTGTCATAGAGGATGTGTCACCTATACCATCGTATTTGAAATAGACTCGTAACGAATAGTAACGCGACACGCACACATAGAATTCTGCTATCCATTCATTGGGTACGATAATGTTAAAAGGAAATTCAGCTCAGTTTGTATTCCATATTATTTGTAATCATATTATTATTGAGGAGCTCGATGGCGCAACTGGTTAGCGCGTTCGGCTGCGATCGTTGAAGTTAAGCAACTTTCCCAGTGGTCGGTCATTGGATGGGTTACCAAAAATTTACTACCTCGAGCTCCTCCGTGCTTCGGAAGGCACGTTAAGACGTTGCATCTGCAGTCGTTAGCACCCACCAATCCGCACTGGGCCCGCGTGGTGGGTCATGGCCCAATCTCCCTATTCCATCAATAGGGAAGGCTTGTGCCCCAGCAGTGGGGACATTAATAGGCTGATGATGATGATGATTATTTGTAATTCCCGCCTGATGGTAAGTAAGTATCCACTTATTGTATAAAGACGCTTGCAATATCAGGGTATATTCACGCATTATCAACCCTAACTCCAGAACTCTACCAGTGCGGGTCCTATCCCCCATATCGTTATTATGTTTACCTCCGTGTTTTATAAAAAAAAAATGAGTTAAGTTACCTCCACCAAAAAAAAAACAGCTGGCTTTGTGTTGATAGTTAGTTTTTAGCGTATCTATAAAAAATATTATTTTTACTTAATGTACGAATAAACCTTTCTGCTTTCTGTTACACTAATAATCACTGTAAAACTGTTACTTTATGTTAATAATAATAAATAAATAAAATAACGACCCTGGCGAATACTTCAATAATATTATAGTGAGGTTTACTTGCGGGACCGACTTAATCTTGGCCTTTTATTAATTTTAAAGGGTTAGTAAACAACCCTCACCTTTACAGTAAGTAACAATAAGGGTGGTGGCATTTTACTGATGATAATAAAACTTATACCATGTCTGTTTGTATGATTTTCATATCTAAGGTGTCAACGATCTATCCTGATTTCCACTGTCTAGACCAGAAGTTAATAAGGGTTAGAATAAGGACCTAATCAGATAATGCTCCTACCATACCATTGAATACTTTTTTTATGTTTAAAAGGAGGCAGACAAGCGCATGACACGCCTGATGGTAAGCGTCCACAATAGACCGATAGACGCTTGCGACACAAAAAATATCATGTATACATTAAATAAAACTAGTTATAACAGTTTAAATCTAAAGATCAGTTTTACTAGAAAAAAATCCACGCGGACCAGGCAGCGGACGGGACTCGAACCTGCACCCTTCGCAATCCGGGCGAATGCACTGACCAATTATACTACCGCGGCCCTCATGGCCGCGTCGAAATTTTGCGTGGTCCGCATGGATTTTTTTCTAGTAAAACTTTTCTTTAAACATCTAGCAGTCAAATGCTTAAAAATAAATAAAAACATAGTTTTAACAGGTTAATGCACGAAATTTATTTATTTATTGACGTTTCGCAGCCTTTTTAGGTCAGCATCGTTAGAATAATGAAATGAAATGAAGCAATAAATAAATAAGTTTCGTGCATTAACCCGTTAAAACTACTTTTATTAAAGACTGATGTGCGTGAAAACCTAAGAAATATGTATACATTATCTTATGACACAGATTTTTTGTTAATTTGTTATTGTTTATTCTCTATTACAGGACAAAACGAAGAAGAGGAGGGTGAGGACAACCCGGAGTCGGACCCCGAGCAGCCCGGGTGAGGCCGCCAGCGGACACCGCCGCCCCTACACACTACCGCTACCCTATATACACTAGACAAACTCCCCCTTATTAATAAACGAAAACCAAGCTTGGCTTAGTTACTCCATATCTTGTCTCTGTTCACAGAATCAAAAGTGTCATTTGAGTGACATGAACAAAATACGGCGTAACTAGTCTCGATGCTTATTCCTCATTAATAATAAGGGGGAATATGATTATACTAAATCAAGGTTTATTGCAAACACTTAATACTATAGCCACTCTTTTGCACTATCGCGAACATTTGCCGCTTTCACGACCTTCGCAATAGTCACAATTCTGACTTTGTTCTGGAATGTGATTATCGCTTGGGCCGATTTGTCATGAAATGCGGAGTGTTCGCGATAACGCGACTGTGGGGTAGCGTTAGGACTACTACACTGCATACTACACAATACACAGTAATATCAAATCAAAGTTCATAATGGAAATGATATACCGCAAGGCCTTAAGGCCCACTTGCAGCACATTTTGCCAAATCTCGATTAAACTAAAACAATATCTTTCCCATAGAAATGTGTCAAAACGTAAAAGTTAATTTAACATTATTCTATGTGTTAAATCTAGTTTTGGTTAAATTACGATTTAGCATAATTGCTGCTAGTGGACCTAATTGTCTACTGTGGTCGCCGTCACGACATGTAAATTATGTAGGCATGCGTTTAAGTTATATAAGTTTGATTGTTTGTAAGTTAATGCTGTCACTTTGTGATAATAAGAATATAAGTGATTTAGTTTGAGAATTTTATTTGCGATAGATTGTTGTTTTCACGGGGTACTTTTTATTTAAATAATCAAATAGTCTGAATTTTTGTGTTTGTCAACATTACTCATAGCTTCTTGTGACGGCGACTATAGATCGGTTGTCTGAAAGTATGGATGCTAACGTGTTTCCCCGCGCTATAGGGTTGCCAGACGCTGGCTTATCAATTCCGGGACCCCCAAAATAAAACATCACATCAAAATATGGGTCATGACCGAATGCCTTTAATATGGCTTACTTCTGACGCCCACCTCGCACGTAGGTGTGGGTATAGTGAAAAAAGGGTGTTTGGGGATTGCGGGACAATAAGGTTTAATTACTGGACACGGAACAATAAGAAAAATTCCGGGACAATCCCGGATTTCCCGGTCATTTGGTAACCCTACCGCGATGTATATGTATCCGTAGCATGACCGCATCATGTTTAAGACGATACGACGATATATCGATATTAAACTACTAAATGAGGAGCTCGATGGCGCAAGTGGTTAGCGCGTTCGGCTGCGACCGTTGAAGTTAAGCAACTTTCGCAGTGGACGGTCATTGGATGGGTGACCAAAAATTTACTATCTCGAGCTCCTCCGTGCTTCGGAAGGCACGTTAAGCCGTTGGTCCCGGCTGCATCTGCAGTCGTTAGCACCCACCAATCCTCACTGGGCCCGCGCGGTGGGTCATGGCCCAATCTCCCTATTCCATCCATAGAGAAGGCCTGTGTCCCAGCAGTGGGGATATTAATAGGCTGATGATGATGATGATGATGATGATGATGATGATGAACTACTAAAATCTATATATTTGATCTCTGTACTACGAACAACAGTGACTGCTTATTATCAGGTAGATCGCATGTTTTCTTACCTTTTTTTTGATCAATAGTTGTGACGTCATCTAGATGTCGCGGCAGTCATGCTACCGATCAGTCATAGGAGACAGGGAAAGGCGTTGGCGTCCACACTTTTTCTACCACAATTAGTTCATTTACTATACCAGTCCTGAGTTTCACACTGAAGTTAACTACTCTTGTGTCAATATTAAGAAAAGCATCCTTAGAAATGCAAGTTTAAACAAAAAATTACTAAAATATTATCATAATATTCATAATACAATAGAAAACACTATGTGGAAAGGATAACTAAAAACGGATCAGTTTTCAAACCAAAATTAAAAGACTACGACGTTTTTCCATACATTTTCCATAAAAGCATGCTGTTATTAAATGGAACATTTGAATATGGGTGAGTCTATGTAGTGTAGTTAGCTAGACTAGAAAATAAAATGTAAATAAAACCTGTGATTGTACACTTTAGGAAATGGAATGTGTATCACTGAAAAGTTTTCTATTTTTGTTCCTTTCGCCAAAATCAATATTCCTTTTCCATAACTGTACAACTCATTATAATATGTATCAAGATTTAGATGCAGTTACATTATGTATGTATGTACTACCGATGTTCATGTATTTATTTAATTTTTTATATTATAAAATTAATATTTTATGACTATTTTGTATCTCGAATCAATAGTATGAACGGTGTTTAGCTGTGGTGTAACGGTCGGTGATGGGTGTTGGTGCAGCCCTTCTGCGTCTCTGATATACTGATGACTGATGTTATGAATTTGTTTTATGGATGTGTGACAGTTTAATTATCATGTGAATGTTTATTATAATTTGACTGTGTTGTCTACAAATGCTTTTCTTTGCGTATTTATAATAGCAGTTATTCAAATATTAATTTTGATTCCTCGACTGAGTCATCAAATTATCGTTTTATTAATAAGTATACCTATCAACTGCTCTATGTGAATTTGTACACGCCTTCGTAATGCTTAAACCACATTATTAGTAATGTTAGTGTGAATGTGAAAACAACGAACAATATAATAAATAAACTTTTTATATACTTAATTGTAAATGTTAATTTCGAATGGTTTTATTTGTCACGTGCCGGCCGTGAAGTCACCGCACATTGTATTATGGAAGGCAATGAGTTCCTATCATAAAGGTATAGGTATATCGTTTTGTGGGAAAGTGATAGATGTTGTCATGAATTCACAAATATTACTAAACCCAATTAGTAATTTGTTATAAGTATGACTGGTCACTAGAATATGACACAGTTGTCTGGCATTGCAGTCAATCAAACATTTTATTCTGGAAATGCAGTAGGTGGGATTTTTTGTACACAACACAGTCATCAATGTATAAAATATTGTTTGTTATTAATGAAATTTTGTAGTTAGTAATAGTAGTTACATTTATACTACGAAGTTACTGATCACATATCTGGGGGCCATTCGCCTAACTGAAATGTTTTGGAAAACGCTAACGTTTTCAATTTTATTTTGTTATTTCTGACCGCCGAAGGTTTTCAAATACCTTACGCTATTTTTTTTAATATTGTTATTACCAACGCAAAAGAAAAAAAAAGAGAGCGAGGCATTTGAAAACCTCAGGCGGCTAGAAATAACAAAATGATATAGTAAGCGTTAGCTTTCCTTTTTCCAAAGCATTTCCGTTAGGCGAATGGCCACCTGATTAGATTGGGTCATTGGTAACGAGATTTTGAGAAACGATGTGGGACTTTGGCGTAAGACGCGTTGTCTGTGCACTATAGCTATAGTAACAATTGTTCAGTTCGTGACAATTTGTTATCATTTTTTCTTGTTATTATATTTTTGTGTAGCCGAAGCCCGTCATGCATTTCTCACTTGTATAATGTCTGATTTATTACAGCCAAGTTGACCATGATTTAGTTAAGTTGATGTAATAATAAGTATTTGTAATTAGAAATAATATATTTTTGTAATAAATTGGTATTTTATAATGATGGTATTTTATTAATAATCCTTTTTATTTATTTTATCTTTAGTTGTTGTAGTTTAAAGTATGTAGTTTTAAAAACATCAATTGGGGTTTATTACTTTGAACGTGCTTTTTGTCAAATATGAGAAATCATCAGAATTCAAGAATCATTTCAAATGAGAATCATTGAGTCAAACTCAACGTTATGTGAATTGAAAAATGTCAAAATACTTGCACAGTAATGTTTCGTAATAGCTAGGGAGCTGGAGGCAGTAATTTTAATATGATTGCATCGTCTGACAGAGGTTGATGTTATTAGAGTGCTAAGTAAAATAATCATTTTAATCAATTTCTGCTATTCATTGATTGATGCAATATCAAACATCACAATATTAACAAATATAAATATTTTTCGCAAGGAGATTATTTGAACAAAATAAGTGTCATAAACGATATTATGCCTTCTGTCGATTCTGTCTTAATACTTTGTATTTAATATAAAAAGAAATTAATGCTAGCGGCCAAAGGTTTTTACTTCTGTGTTTTGGAGTTCTTTTTTTCTAATTATTATGATGTATTAAATATAATTACTTCATTGCCGATGCAGACTAGAATATTTTTTGAAATTATATGATGTGATAAATAAAAATTATTTTGCCATTATGATGTGATGATGCTGCATAATCTGTATTGTTGAAAAAATGTTTATAAAAACAATATTATAAAAAATTGTTTCTGCCTATAAGTCTACTATTTCTATTAGTTATATTATACTTTAACACACACCAATTAGCCTACTCCCAAAGTAAGCACTGTAACGCTTGTGTTATGGGATACTGGGCTAACGGATAGAATACATATACTGTACATATATAAGTATATTTATATAGAAATACATTCATAGGTCGCTGGGTTATCCGGCTCGAAGGACCACATGAAAAGGTTTGTCTGTCCGCTCGATGGTTAGCGTCCAGATCCCTTTGTTTATATGGTAAGAAAAGAATAACTCCAAAGTCCGTGTAAAACTGTATAATAATTAAACTCACAATTTTAAAATAATAAAGAATAGTAAAATATAATATAAATACGAAAATGGTTATGTGTGGTATTGAGCACGCGTCGCGTTAATGGTAGCTAATTACGTACTAAATTTATTTCCATATTTTATGTATAAAGTGCAACTTACTGAATTGCAAATTGCTGCGCTGTTCGTTTGCATAGCACGGAACAGTATTAAACATCCATGACTGGAGTACACAGGGCCGGACTGTGAGTTTAGGGGGCCCTGGGCTAATACTACCTAGGGGCCCACCTAAATACTCAAAGTATAGAAAATGAGACTGTAAAATATTTAATTTATATTATAATATATTATGCCTAAGTGTTATACAATCATAAATAAATTGACAAATTATAACCTTTCCGCGCTTTATTTTAGCAAATTCTTTAATTTGCTTATCACATTCTAAGTTCTTAGTTAAATCAACATTTATGGACAAAAAGTATAAATGGTTAAGTCGTAAGTTTGACATCGTCGTTCTGTATTTATTCTCTACACCTCATCGCGATAATAACCGTATATACATGTTAATAACCGTACGGGCGCTTTCGTTTGATAGAATAGGCTAGTTTACTCATGTCGAATTGTATTAACTAAATGTTTATTTCTTAAAGTATTTAGTCTAAGGAACCTTAATATATCGATTTCACTTCATAAAAGCAGAAGATTGCTGTAGAAATTTAATTTTAAAAAATATTTTTTAGTCTATATTTATATTTAAACACTAAAAACGCTGTTGGCCACATCCGCCATGATTTTTAACGTCTCTTGTGGTAAACAACTAAATGTCATTCGCGTGTTACTGTAGGTGGATTCTTTCGTCTGACTAAATTTATCTTAAAACACTTTTAACTTTAGGAAAGAAAAAAACAGTTTTTTGACAAAACTAATTATGGATGCCGGCTTTGTGAAAGCAGAAAGCACAAATCTGCCAAGAATTGACGCATTGATGGTTGGTGAATTTGTTGTACTAAACCCCGATTTCTGCTCTGCGGAGCAGAGAAACGACAAGGCATCTATGTAAGTACAGTGCATTTAGTATTAAAATGTAGTAATAAACATAAAACTGATACAACATATGAATAAGTGTAATAAAGTTGCGTAGGTTAATTTCTTTCGACACTTTAATCCACAACTTTCCTGGAGTTTTCAAGGATGTGTTTTTATATTCTCGTACAATACAGTAATGATAATTACTTTATTTTTCGTGGTATTTATTAGAAATCATGTTTTTTTTTATTATAAACTCAGTTAAAAGTAATTTTCTACGTGTTTACGAGTTTTTGTTTACCACAGTTCACGTCATAGCATAGATAATCTATAGACTAAAATGGCCGACAGCGTTTTTGTATGTCCATGAAAAGTCTATTTTAAAATTAAAGATTTGTAGCTTTCTAGGTTAAAAAAAAATACAATACATTTTTTTTCGGTCTAATAGAACATTAATTAACCATTTAAAACCTTTTTCCAAAAAGGGTCAACTAGCCTATTGCATACCAGGAGGGAGGGTTGCCAACCCGTAGGCGACCATTACACATTCAATCTGGATCACGATTCGCTACATTCCTCCAAAACAAAACTATTTCTTTCTATCATACTAGTTAAAAATAATTAAAAATGATAAATAATGGTACTTCTATAAATAATTCTAGCAAGATAGAAAGAGACAGAGTCTAGGAGGGAAACAGCGGAGCACGGTTGAGATGAATGTGTAAAGGCAGCTTAATATTTTAACTGCAAGTTCGAAATACTTGAATGGATTTTACTATACGATCTTTAATTTAATAAAATTATGGATTCTTTCGCATTATCGTCTATTTTTGACT